AAAGCAGGGCAAAAACCTGAAGAAAATGTTGAGTTTAGCAGTGTGAATGAATTAGATTAATTAAAGCTAGCATTAAAGTGTACTGGCTATAGTAAGTGATTAAATCTGACAGTGAGACAAAGACAGCTGGACTAACAACAATTCAGACAGAGTCAGTAACACAGAGCACTGGCCACTGAACCCTACAGTGCAAGAGGGCTGGATTCACAAAAATAGAAATATAGTTAATTACAGACAGTCTGGTAATTTCATGCTACAGCGCATGGTATGGATGCAGCAGGTAATGCAAGACATTTAAAATCAACACAGTCCAGAAATATAAGCCATTTGTTTTTGATCTGATCTATTCAGATATTTCACCAGTGTCTGCCTTCGAATCCCTACAGGTCAATAGTTTTTCTCATTGCATCTTCACTCCATATTCAAACAAAATACCAAAGGAACATTAACATAAAAATCAATTTGTGACAATGCCTTTTTTTTCTAAAAGGGGAATATTGCTGAAGACAAGAGTTTATTCATATCCACTTCCAATACAGCTTGGCTCCCTTTGTGTCAAATTAAATGATATTTGTGCTGAGGGCTGAATTCAGGAACAATTGTCCATGAAGATGATTTGTACATGCACGATCATTGCCTGGTTATATTCGCAATGAGAAGCTTCTGGTCACATGGAATTTCCTGGAATTTGGAGGAAGATTTACAACGACACTTGTATGAGTGAAATGAAAGGTCTGGATAAAAGGACAGGTGACATCAAACATCGCTACTGGCAGCTGGATAGAAGTAGAAGAATCACTTCTTTGACATCTTATAGAGATGATGTGCGTCGTCTGGCATATATCACAGCCCTGCTTGCCAAGGCAGCAAAGTACTACCATAAGGCATTAGTGGTAGATTATCAGTGGCATCCCTCACCTTTGTGAAGTCATCTTAACAGGCTACAAGAACATCATTCACCCTCTTTTGGTGTCAGATGGAGAAGACAGGGGCATAATCGGACTCCGGTTTTGTGTGAAAGGAGCAGACAAGACAGAAAGGGTAAAAGCATTGCTACATGTAAAACGAACAATTTAGAAAAAAATTCAATGACTGGCTTTTTAAGATTAATATTTTCAGTCAAGACAGAATAACTTTCTTTTACTTGTATGAGTCATTAAAGAGGCTTGAACTTAAGTAACTACAATGGGCATAATAAATTATGCTTCACCAAACACTAGGTTCGGACAGGGGTTGGCACCCAAGAGTAAATATTGGGTCTGCAGTAGAATTCAACTGCTGCTTAAAAAGGCCTGCAATTTTTCGTTTACACAGACTGAGGGGAGACGAACTTCAGCCCTATTCCTCGTAACACATTAGGTGGGAAGAAAATGTTTTCCAATTAGAATTAGGCTATTTTCTCAGATAACGTTTATATCGTACAATGTGTGGGACATGAGTGGATTAGAGGATAACAATGTGTGCGAGGGATAATAGAAAAATAACTTTGTATGTTGTAAAACATAAGCACAATTAGCATTCTTCTCTGCCTGTGGAATTTACTTCAATTGTCTTCTAGTCTACCGAGGTAACATACCTTTGATCTTCTCTCTTGCCTGCTGTTACCCACTGGTCGTCTTCTGTTCTTCACCAGCACCATCTGGTATTTGTCTTCTATTCTTCAATAGCAGTACACTGACAGCAATCTATTCTTCACTAGCTCGATCGCCAACTGTCTTCTATTCTTCACCAGCATTCTGTGCTGATGGTCTTCCACTCTTTATCAATGCAATCTGTTGGTGATCTTCCATTCTTCACCCATGTTATTCACCAACTGTCTTCTATTCTTTGCTAGCAAGCCACCAATGGTCTACTTTTCTTTACTACTGTTATCTGCTTTATTCTATTCCTATTCCAGCTTCAGCTGTGATTCTTCACTAGCACAATACATTGTTGGTCTTCTGTTCTCCTCCAAATAGCTTTAAGGTAACCTTTTTAACTTGTTGAACTTATATTGGCTCTACATTCCACTAATTATCTTTCTTTCAAGCATTTGGTTCTAACAGTACAATTCACCAGCAGGTTTCAATTCTCTACTTGCACACTCTATGGCCACCCTCCATTGTTTTGTGCACCTTATTGTCAGCTTATACTACCCTTCTATGCAATTCACTGGTGATTCCTTATTCTTGTCCAAATAATACACCTATTCTGCTACTCTCCTCCACTGCTGGCTTCCTTTTGGCTTTTAAGAACTATTGTCCTAAGTTACCCCTTCTTCTCAATATAAGGCCTTGCTAGCCATCTATTACAATTCGTTATTTAGTTTGCACTGTTATTTAAACCTCATTCCCTGCTACCTATTTCCATTAATCTCTTATTTACACCAATTCTCAAGGTGACTCATTGTTTGCCACAAGATCTCCACAAACTCCCTCACTGTAGGGTTTTGACAGTGCCTCAGAAATAGACTCGTTTTCCCATATCTTTTTTGGCACAAAGGTTAATCAAAGGGATACACCTTGCACCACGACCTAGTGTGACCAACTCATGCATAGGAAAGCAGATTGTAAGTAGTTCAGTTCAGAGGAAATCAATAGAACTTGACTCAAGTTCAGCATTTGATGTGAAAAGCAAGGACAGTTTTGCCTTTGAGACTGTATAAGGATGCTGTTAAATACAAGCACACAGCCAGCTAGTGCATAACGTGCATACACATGTGTGCAACACACTGGTGTGCATACATGCAAACACACACACACAGCTGCAATCGCATTAACGGACTTCCCATCTGCCATCAGCCATTTCCATGTCACCTTCTTTGAGCTCATTTGTACTTCATTAACTGCCATTGACTTAACAAGATTTATGCAAATGAGACCACAGGACCTTGCCAACTCCCACTGCAATCAAGTGATTATGTATGTACGATTCTCCTGCTATGAAAAATTAATAAATGACAAGCCCAGTCAAGACAAAGCAGAGCCTCCTGTGATTTTTTTCTCCCTCTGCTTAGCTTTTAAAGTATTTGCATGCTTCTTCAGAAAACATTGAGTTTGCTTTACATTGGAATTAATCAAAGTCTTTCACTAATTTATCTGAATGCAGCTCCTTCAGTAATTGAGAGTAAATAAATACCGTAATAAATCAATTTATCTTATTAGACTGCAGAAATTTACAGTTGGAATAATTAGATGAATAACTGCAATAAGGCAACTTGACGTTTCACATCTCAGCTTCTTGCAGTCACACAGAAGAAATGACGCACCACTCTAATTAGTTACCACAAAAATCAAAGCTGGCCGATGTGGAGGTGCTGGCCCACTGACCTAATATTGATTGGCACAGAATTTTCTGATAATCAACTGCAAATGACACCCTCGAGAAACTGGGATAGTGATAATCCTTCTGTTAATGTTTGTGTATGAAAGTCAACATGGAGGCAAGGATCTAGAGCAATACTGGAACACAAATACAAGACCGTAGGAAGTGTGGATCATTTATGACAAGTACACCACAAGCTAGGAAGCACAGGCAAGACCAAATTACTGATTTTACTGTGGTTATTCTAAGCCATTCAGAGTTCACTGTCATGGTTAGAAGATGTCACCTGAATGCTTGAATTAGATTCCAACCTATAATTCACTCCCAGGTACTTACTGTATGACATACAAACCACTCCAAACCGTTTGATTAGGTTCCAGAGAAGTCGTTTATTCCTGCATATCTGTTATAAGTTTCTAGTTTGCACTTGCTTTTTGGGTGTCTATTATTGTATTGATTAATGTATGCACACCACCCAAATACTGAATCAGATTTCAGCCTCTTACTCCTCATATTTTATTATTTTATGTACACATATGCTTCTATACATACACCAACCCAAACTTTGATCAGATTTCAGCCAGTAAAACTTTCTGGGGTTCCATTATTCCCTATTGAAACAGCCAGAGAATGTCAGGATGCAGAGGGGTAAGTTTGGTTACTTTTGATATAAATTTCCCAGCTGTCTTGTGTGCAGGATAATGAATTAATTACAAAAGTTGTGAATACAGGGAAAAGTATAAGTATTTCAGCTAGTGATTCACCAATGTGGAAAAAAAATCTAAAATTTAGATTTAAAAAGAGAAAGAATCTTGTTCAGTGAATTCCATTGTGAAAAACAAAACTCTCAGTGTGCTCTGCGCTTCATTCAGAGAAGAAACTCAGTGAGACTCCACATGCCAAGCCAACATAAACCTACAATGTCAATGTTACATTACTTAAGACAACATCCAGTTTCATTTTAAAAAGCAGGATTAAAAATAAAGAGAAAAAAATTCTCTCTGTACAAACACCACATGACTATCAAAATACCTTTATTGCCTGATCATATGGGGAAGATTGGCACAAAGCCCACACTCTCAGCTGTCAAAAGAATTCCCCTATCCCCCATATTGAAGCAAGCAAGTTAATTTACACATTAGTTGAGGGGCGACTGAAGCCTCTTCATTAGATATTTGCAAACAAGAGCAAATAGTCAGTGCACAGGCCATCATTATCAGAACTAATTGCCTCAGCTTGGCAAGCGGAGGAACTCATGTTCAGATGTCCTCTTGCATCGGCAAATTGGGGCCAAGTCAAACAATATACAAGATCACAAGAGTTCTGTTCAGTGATCGGATTCAGACACTCGCCTGTTTCAGTTCCAATCATGGCACTCCTACAAAGCTGGTCTTTGAAGCAGTCCAAGCTGGAAGCACTCCATATGCAGATAGGGCTGCAGATTGCAGTTAATTAGACCCAGTTCTTAAAACTTCCCACGGTGTCGTGAGCATCTTACTCTAATGATCTTACTTTAGCACGTTTAGGGCCCAGCTAATTGATGTCAAGTGTGCAACTTCTATGTTAATGAAATGGAAAGCATCAAACAAACAGAGAGAGGGAAAAAAAACAAGAAGTAGGTTACAGAGTTGAAACCACGTTGCTCCATGCCTCCAATTAAAAGGAGCAGTGGGGAGAAAGGGAAAACAGCACCTTACCTGCTTAATTGGGATTGCTCGGCCACTCCCAATACTGTCTGCTCTGGTGTCAAGATTTTTCTTCTCCTTGTCTAGCTCACTTCCTTTTCGAGACTAGAAAAAGAAAATGACCATTGTAAAATAGCAAAGGTTAAAAATTAAAAGACACCAAGAAACATTGTGGACAAAAAGCCTCTGGCTGGAAATCTTGACTTCAAATACAGTACTGCAAAATGTTAATGGCACTCTTAGTCCCTCATTACAACACTGAGTTATGTAAGTGAGAGACAAAGGATTTATATTATTTGTTTGATGAATATTTGCTGCCTTTGCTTTCTTTGCTCTTTTAGAGAATTATAGGATGAAATAAATTCAGTGCTATACAGGCTGAAGGTAAGCAACCTTTGAACCCTGCAAAGTACTAAATCCAGGGAAAGAGATGTCAGAAACAAAAATAGAAATTGCTGGGGAATCTCAGCAGATCTAACGGCATCTGTGGAGAGAAATCAGAGTTAACGTTTCAGTCCAGTGACCCTTCTTCAGAACTGATGGTACTAGAAAAAAGTAGATTTTTAAAAACCAACCATTCTGAATGAGCTGGGAGTGCAATCAGGACCTACTGCAGGGATTGCGGAGGCAGGGCCAAAGGGTAAGGAGCCAGATGGGAAGCCTGAAAAAGTAGGCCTGGAGGAGATAGAGCTGCATAGGGACCAGGGGAGGTAGGCTGTTTGATTCATGCTTTGAAAAACCAACTTTTTTCCTATCTACCATCAGTTCTGTGGAAGGGTCATTGGACCCGAAATGTAAACTCCGATTTCTCTCTACAGATAATGTCACACCCGTGCTTTTCCAGCAATTTCTGCTTTTGTTTCTGATTTCCAGAATCCACAGTTCTTTCGTTTTTTAAAAAAAAATGTTGTCACTGGGGTTAGTCGATGCTTTGGTAAAGTGCTCTCTGTGGATATTAGTTTTATTGTGTCAGCATAATTTTCTTGTGATACATGGTGGAGGTCCAAACAGGGGTTGTTACTTCAGAGGATACTTAAGTTCTCCATACCTATGTGATGTCCAGGATACATTTGTTTTCAAGTCCACTCACCTGTCCTGCAAGCTTAATTATGCTAATCACATTAAGGTCTGGAAACATGTCTATTTGGCAGAATCCTGGAGTACCTGATGTCTGAAGCCTATCTGACCGGCACATACACACCCACAATGCGCTGAATGGCCTCTTTCTACTTAGTGCATCTTTGTATGCGTCGAAGAAGCTGGAGAATGGAGGCACCACTGGGTGGAACATTGAGTCATGCATCAGTCCCTGCTACCAGCAGCTTGCCATCCTGAATGAGCAGGGAGTGCAATCAGCACCCATGGCAGGGCTTGTGGAGGCAGGGCCAAAGGGTAAGGAGCCAGACGGGAAGCCAGAAAAGGTAGGCCTGAAAGAGGTGGAGCTGCACAAGGGCCAGGGGAGGTAGGCTGACCAATCCAAGTTTTGATTTCAAAAATGGATAAACAAAATTTCTCAGGCAATTCCAGACAGATACAGCACATGGGTAGTCACAGATTAACCAGGTGCAGACAGATATTTGAAAAAATCTTAAAATAGTGTTTTTAACATGTTATAATGGTCTCCTGCAATATTGATACACACTTAGTGTCATTTGTCCAACGTATGCACCAATGATAAGCAGGACCAGAGATTCTAGAGTCTACAATAATACATTAGAAATAATTGCTTGTCAACATATTCTATTCTCTTCATTTTGATGCACTTTGTGTGGTATCCTCCATTTATAACTTCAATCTCTCGTCACTACCATCACCTGTGACAAAATGACACACAGCAACATATACCCGGTGAAAATGCTCTTTTCAGAACTTGCAGGGTTCTGAAGGTCACAATCTGAAACTATCATTTGCAGTTCCCGACAGTCCAAATCAACACAGGATGGAAATTCACATTTCACTATCGCTCTGCACCAAAACCCTACGGAGCAAGACACAGCACAGCGTGCCAATTCTTATCATTATATTTTATTTCTTGTTCTTTGTGGGCTTTTCCTCAAGCTCTTTACTGCTTTTGATGATTTGTTGTATCTTTCAGCTAAACTCTACCCCAGTGACAGCGTATTGTTTAAATGGATTTAGCATTCCTTTCACTAAGTGCATCTTACAGCAAACATCAACATGCAAGTACATTTCCAAAGAGCACTCAGGACCACAGAGGTGGAAAAATAAACTAATAGTTCCAAATCTGCTTTAAAGTAGAAATGTGTTTTAAATTTAAACTTTTTCTTTGGCTGGAGGGGCTAGGTAGTGGCATCAAGATTTAATTTGTCCTCGAATGCAATTACATTTCAGCATTGCTCACACAGTGAATCACCACTTGTCATGTGCTAAATATAGCAAGAGTTTAAAAACATTGTGATGGAAGAGAAACCAAAAACGTATGCTCTACTGCTTGAATTTCACTTTTCAAATAACATTTAAATAAACAGCAGGTCTGGCAATGATAGTAGGAACTGCAGATGCTGGAGAATCTGAGAT